GGAAACTTAAAATCTGAGGTGTCAAACCTCTGTGGTGGAGCCGCTTCAAATGACCCAGCTCGCACCGTGGTCTTGGGGAGTGCACCACGATGTTTGCGCAGATTAGGGTCCCGCAATGAACCCTAACAGGCCATAATGCCTAAAAGCTGAAATCCTGAAGCTAAATTTCTTCAAAACGTGCAACCTCATGACTCATGACTCCTAGCCTTAACCGTCAACTGTTAACCCCTAAAGCTACAGCTGGAGTCGAATGTTTACAGGTTTAGGATGGTTGAGGGTTATGTAGGAATTGGTTAGAAAATTAGGGAAGGTCGGCAGGCAATCATTGCAGGGTTGAACATGAAGTCGCACTCACCGAAGTGAGACTATTGTTTTTTTGGGGGACCTGGCCAAGAGCCAATAAATACAAGTTGGAGCAGTGACATTGATGTAGCTTCAGCATCAAAAACTGAATTTTAAAGTAGTTGCAGGAGCCTTGAAGCCTGACAAGCCGACACAGAGTCCTAAGCAAACCCGATATAGATATATAGACCAATGATAACCGACATGTTGTAAAGAAAAGCTAGGCTAAACTGTTTAAACTGCTTGTGACTGGTTCGCAGGACATGCTCAGTGACATGTCCGCTGGAGAAGTTGATCGCCTGTATCTGTTCGACTCTGAGAAAGCTGCTGTGGATAAGGAAGCTCTGGAGCGGGAAGAAGCAGCAGCTGGTCGGAATATTTCATGTTTGGCCTGTTTGGCAATTAATGTTCTGGTGGGATTTCAGATTTCTTGGGTATATGACGGTATATGGTTGCAAGTTGCAAGTGTGCAGCAAAGTCACGTCACATTCTGTATACTTTGGCCTTATACATTGTACTCTACTTGTACATATACCACTACATTGCGGTTGCTGCTCATCACATAGCGTGTTTGTCACGTCACATGGCACATGTGTTGCGTCACGTGGCGCACTCTTCACGTCATGCAGCACGCCGCAGTTTAACATCTCACACAGCATGTATGTCAGTGCTGAAGGTTGCTCTAGAAGTATATGAAGGAAGAAGTGTGACAGTGTAACTCCAAGTAACACCATTACATCTAGTGACTGAATCTAGTGGTCATGTGGCACACATGTGCTGCGTCACGTGGCGCGTTAGTCGCGTCGCGTGACGCGTTAGTCACGTCGCGTGGCGCGTTTGTTTCGTCACGTGGCGCGCTTGTTGCGGTACGTGGCATGCTCGATACACATATAATATAGATAAATAAATATATTATATATATATGTGTATATATATATTTAATAATTTATACATACATACAAATATTTACTGTTAATCTATCAACATCTGCTGCGTAAATTTCTTTTGTTGGTGAATGCAATTGGCGCGCCGCGTGGCGCATTGGTCACGCCACGTGGCGCGTTTGTGTCGTCACGTGGCGCGTTAGTTGCGTCGCGTGGCGCGTTAGTCCTGTCACGTGGCGCGCTTGTTTGGTCATGTGACGTGCTCGTGTCGTTTGTGACAATGTTTATTATGTAACATATAGGTATATACATATTCATTCATATATGTGTCTGTGCGGTGAGTCTAATTGGCGCGCCGCGTGGCGCATTGGTCACGCCACGTGGCGCGTTTGTGTCGTCACGTGGCGCGTTAGTCGCGTCGCGTGGCGCGTTAGTTCTGTCACGTGGCGCGCTTGTTTGGTCATGTGACGTGCTCGTGTCGTTTGTGACAATGTTTAGTATGTAACATATAGGTATATACATATTCATTCATATATGTGTCTGTGTGGAATTCTGTTTCAAACATTTGCTGCATGACGTGGCGTGTTTCCTTGTCGGTGAGTCTAATTGGCGCGCCGCGTGGCGCATTGGTTGTGCCACGTGGCGCGTTTGTTGCGTCACGTGGCGCGTTAGTTGCGTCGCGTGGCGCGTTAGTCCTGTCACGTGGCGCGCTTGTTTGGTTATGTGACGTGCTCGTGTCGTATTCATATATGTGTCTGTGTGGAATTCTCTTTCCAACATTTGCTGCATGACGTGGCGTCTTTACATGTCGGTGAGTCTAATTGGCGCGCCGCTTGGCGCGTTGGTTGCGCCACGTGGCGCGTTTGTTGCGTCATGTGGCGCGTTAGTCGCGTCGCGTGGCGCGTTTGGCGTGTTACGTCACACGCTTCTTTCCTTACATCTTCATTTAATGGTAGCCAGCGATCCACAGGAAGAAGAAGAAGTTGCAATCCGTGCTACCATTTGTTCCAGCGTTCACTGACTAGCAAACATGCGGCAAGGCACTGTGTTGCATTACCTTTTTACACCACACATCCTCAGCCAGAGCAACTAAACCCATGCCCCGAAACCCAGAATCCGAATGTCAGATAATTTCCAGAGGGCTGCCACACCATTTCAAGGAAGAAGCCATCATATATGTGCAAGTTGCATAGCCTGAGCCTGAGCTTTTCCCAAGTTTACGGGGCCTGGGATAAGCCTTAAGGGTTTAGGGCCGTTCAAGTTGGGCAGGGTTGTGCCAGGCAAAGATGCAGCAGGAGCTTTCGACGTCGAATGAGGATTTCGAAGAAGAGTCCATGACAGAGGAGGATGAGATCGTCAAGCCTCCCGGGTTGCAGATGTGCTGGCCCTGAAGTGTAAAGAAACCTTGCGTAACATGTTTCGGATGATGGCCATGAGAAGGAATTTCATGATTCATGCCGTCCAAAATCATGCATCTCAGCTAAATCACATTGCTTCATAGTGAAGTTTGCCCAACCGTGAGGGGAACTGCTGATTTAGGTGTGATGGATCTGTGCTTTGGGTGGGTGTGCGGTGATAGGGACGGGCAGGTGGGGTGAGCATCTTGGCATGTGGTGGGGGTTTTGGCTGCCAGGGTCTTTTGCGTGGCTTCCGCAACGAACCCTTGCTGCTGTCTGAACACCCTTAAGGCTTAAGGCTTAAACTTCACATGAGTTCTTGGAAAAAGAAGGCCTGCATGAGCTGGCAGATTGGCTGCCTGGTCGTTTCTAAGGCTCCTTGGCATGGGAAGTTATATTGGGTAATGCATCAATGCCGTGCGTCTTGCGTTTGAAGTAGTTTGAAGCATAGACGGAGATCAAACACGTGCAGCTTCCTGAAAGTGCATGTGGATGCAGTTGATTGCAGAAATGTGCTATTCATAGCTGCTTACAGCTGAAGCTGGCAGTAGTGCGCAAGGTGCAAGTCCAAGTCTGTGGTGTTTGACGTCAACAGCAAAGCCTGTATAGGGAGTCATCACATGATCCGACACAACTTGCCACATCATCGAGGCCACCCCTATTGACAATACTAAGCCTTCGGCTGCAAGGGGTTAAACAGCAGCAGTTTTCAAGCATGCCACGTCGGGCGGGGCCAAAGCATGACGTTTTGGGGAGAAAGTCCGCGAACTCCCAGCGCCAACTGAATGATCAGCTGCAGCTGGGGAATATTGCCCGTGAAGTCGCTGAAGAGCTCGACCATCTGGATCGCAGCAACTCGGCAGCAGCATATTACCAAGATATGAGCCCACTTGCAATTTGTCTTTGATCAGGGTGACATTTCAGGCTTTGCGAATGAATAGGTGCAGGATCGGAGAACCATGAGTCGGTATCCAGAACACGCAGCATGTGGGGATCAGAAAGTATGCAAATACAGCCTGACTGGAACAGCCTTTTGAAAGGATGTTCGGTGGTTTCACACAAAGGCGTTTTCCGCATGGTCAGCACTTTGGCTTAGACGGCTTTCTCGGCCTGTGTTACCCACCATGTCCACAGTACGATGCGCTGCATGCTGGGCCAGTGGCACACCACCCTTCGAGCACCAGCAGAAGCCGAAGGGTAAGCTTCCTTCCTCCAAAGAGGACATATTGGCAGCCATACTGGAGACACCTGACTACTCACACACACGAGCTCAGTTGGAGTGCCAGTCGAGCAAGGAGCTTCGTTCCCTGCTCAAAGCTGTGAAGAACTATGTGCCACACAAGTGCAACCCCACATCGTAGCTCGGGCTGCATCAAAAGATGATAAATTAATGTGGGTTGTTGCATAGCTCAGATGGCCAACCAGGGTCAGGGGCTTGGGAAAGGGCTTAGACGGTTTAGAGCTTGGGGGTTTTAGGCTTCGAAGTTTTGGGTGCTCATTACCTTTTGAGCAGACTTCACCTTCATTCTGTCATTTAGGTCCTGCTCTCAAGCAAATCGGAAAGACCTGGTTCAGCGGTGCATCGATCACGGCTTGGCTGCTCAAGCAGGAGATGCAAGAGACAAAGGTGCATTGATGCGCATTTTGCGGCAGCATTGGCTTGGACAGTGCCAGCTTGCCATGGGCATCAGCAATCCAGAGGCATCCTTCCCTGAATCATCGTCCGAGGCTGCTCATTGGCTGGACCTTGCAAGTGCTGAAAATGAGGTGATCCGGTCCAAAGAGCGACTGGAAGTCGTTAGGCAACACCTGGGCTTGCCAGCGGCATTTCAATCAAAAGGTACGCAAACGGATTCCACCTTGCGCGCAGATTGATTTTATAAGTGCCATTCTTGATGACATTCACAGTGTTGCGGTACAGCAGTTCAAGTGCAGCCCCCAAGCTTATAGGCACAGTTCATTTAAAGTTTGTGCGAGGCACTGTGAAACCCATTGCTTCAGCGGCTGCACCCATGAAGCTGCGCTGCAGATGAAACTGGCAGCGGGCGGAAAATGACTTGCTTCCAGTTCAGTCGTCTGCCAGACAAACCAGAACCAACCGTCAATGGTCTCTAAGCTTGCACTGCACCTCCTTCAAACAGTGACACCCCATGTATGTGAAAGTCTTTGTTTGAACTGGGATACGTCCGAGTGAACACTGCGCCCGACCTTTTTGCTTTATGCCCGAGATACCACTATGACACCGCGCCCAGGTCACAAATGGAAGCCGGAGCAGCACATCGCATGTGCTTTCAGCGAGATCAAGAATAAGATGACTCGATATCTTACTGGTCAGCGGCCAGAGAAAGTGTCCTCATCAAGCATTTTCTATGTCGCCATGGCCTTTTTGATGGGACAGCAAAGGCCCCTCATGCAACCGGGCTCCTTCACACATGTGTGGTGGTGAGCCCCTTCTGTAGTCCACTTGAAAATCCCCCCTGCAGGCACTTCGCTGAGCAGGTTATGGCCGCCTCCAGCAACGACCACAAGGGCCTTGACAGCGTGCGTGTTTTGAACATTTCTTTTGGCTGGGATGAGACGAAGCAGGCACATATCAAGAACAAGTGTATGCAGAAACCTTTGGTGCCTGAGTACCCAACAGATGATGGGGTTGATGGTGATGGTGATCATGGTGGCGGGCAACTACATGCTCAAACTGAGAGCCTTTTTTGCAATCATGCTATGATCAGTGACAGTAGAGTGGCTGTGTCACTCACATGTCCAGGTTAATAACCAACATATGTTCCATAATTACCCTTGGCCCCGGTTGTCAGGCTTTGAGCTTCTCTGGAACACTTGTTTTATGTTTGAGAGATACAAGCAGTTGAGCGGAGCGTTTAGCATGCAAATTGGGACATTGCATGTTGGTTCTATTAGATCTTCATTCTCTGTTGGTGGAAAACATATGCGGCATCATATGTGGTAAAGTTTACAGCTTCTAAACCAATACTGTTTGTTTCCTTTGTTAGTCGATGGTCATTCGGTCCTACGGTACCTACAAATTTCGGAGGCAGTGTACCTGCTATACAGTTCACATAGCCATACGGAAACGTAATAATCTTTCAAGCCCCAGGAATATGAATGGCCACGAAGAGTCTGTGCGGCATCCGAAGACCGCAGGAAGCCGGGAGTATGTGCATGCCTTGGTTTCCAGTGGCACGGTATGTTGGAGTGATGGGGAAGGCTTGTCTCATGCCGAAGAGATCAATTTGCCTCCTAGGCAAGTTCCTGGAACATCATCAAAAGACGTCGGCCCTGCTCTCATGCAGAACCTTGAGGAATTCATCTTCGGTACATCAGTTTCAGCCTTCATTGAATCTGCTTCCAAGAAATACAGATCAGTGAGCTTCTACATCGTCGCAGATTCCGCGAAAGCAAACCTGAAAACCATACGCCAACTGCTGGCTTACTTTCACCAAGTTGCTGAGGAATCCGCCCTTCGATTCACATTTCAGTTCACTCCCTGTTTGATGCACCAACTGATGAGGGTAGTACTCTTGAGTATGGACCACAAGAAGCTGACAAGCTCAATGTATTCCATCAGCAGAATACAGCTTTCGTCAACATTGAAAGCCCGAACTCTCACAGCCATGAAGGACTTGTTGGAGAAGAATTTTCGTTATGTGCCAGACGAGACCCCGCCAGAAGGCAATCCTTTCTTTCGCCGCCGGTTAGGCGAACTGCTGAAAGGTGCCCTGAACGTCGACATGGGTGAGCTGGCGATCGGTGAAGAACGATGCAAACTCATTGACAAGGCGCTCGGCTTTTTCAACGGCAATTTACTGGACAAGCATTCCCTGTGTCATTTTTGCACGGGGTGCCATCGGGACCGCCAGCATGCACTCAGCGAGGTGTCTTGTCAGCGAAATGTTGCAACTTGCAATACTTGCACTGTCAGCTAAAAATACATGCATACGAAGTTCAATCAAGACTGTGCCATGGTGCAACCTTCAATTTTCAGGCTTGGGCACTGCTGCAGAACATCTTTGACCACAGCGCTGTGTTTCAACCATCCCGGTGGACTATGGTTTGCCCTGCTCTGTCATATTGGGGAGCTGGCATCGCAATGCACGGCATCCTGTGCTCCGCTTTCGAACAAAGCGATGTCCTTGTGGAGGACTGCACATACATTCCGAAGCACGAAGCCACAAAGCTGTTGAGATGAATTTTGTGGAAACACACATACACATACACATGAAAAGGCTTAGTCAACCAAGCCTGTGTGTGTCTTCAGTTCAACGGCCTCAAATTCAACTATCTTGTTAGCCTTGGCTAAGCCCCGTCAAGGGCAAAAACGGGGCTTGTGCCTGAACCCTTACACCTTGAGCCTTGAGCCCTAAACTGTAGCTCCTAGTCCAACCCACAACCTGAACCCTAAACTCCACTCCTTCAAGCACCGGCATGAGCCCTGAACACCACAAACATGTTTTCGGTGAGAGGTCCTGCGGTGCCTGGTGTTTTTATTCACCCGCCTTGCTTAACCAAGTCACTACTTGGGCTTCAGGGTATTTGCACCTTCTCTCGTCACCGTTCTTCCCAGTGGCTGTGGGTGTGTGGTGTGACCAGTGGTGTGTGTACAGTATGTTTGTCTGGTGTACGGGTATTTGTGCATGTGTGCATGCAAAGACAGTCAACACAAATCAAAATAGGGTCCCCTGCCCCTGTACATTGTCGTGTGCTACACAATCATGAAAACAAGTCGTTGAAACTCTGAGTTTCCACATGTGAGAAAGCATAAATGCAAGTTCTGGCAGGACGGTGCTGCCAACAGAGGGGGTGCAGGTGACAACGAGGAACAGATTGCATATCAGAGAGCCGTGGCGATCAGAAAGTCAAGATCTTTGTCATTCTTGCAGTCGCCACACTCAGCATTTGATTTGTTCTCTGTGTTGACCATGAACTTAATGCTGCAGCGTATTGTTGGTGTGGCATTCAAGCTGACCAGCGCCGAGCGGGCTAGCTCCGGGATTTCACAAGAGGGGTTACATCAAGCACGCAAGCGAAGAAAGCTTGTTGGCAAGGCTGCTCATGACAGAGCAGCAGAAGATGACACACAGCGCAAGTACTCAATGCTCGATTTACTGAAAGCCACGCATGCAGTTCTGCGGCTGCTTTGGCATGTGTTGCAGTGTCAGGTTGAGAACTCAGTTTTCTGTGTGGCTGCTGCTTTCTACCCAGCGAGCAGCCCCATCACCGAGATGTATGAGAGGCTGACCAGTGACATCCTCAAGTGTATAGGTGGGCTGAAGTTTCGAATCATCCAGCGCTTCGATGCTCCACCATACAGCCTGCTTGAGCTTGCACATGATCCTGCTGCACAGCTCGTGCAGTCAAAGCTTCGACAATTCTTGAGTTTGCGTGAATGCTGCCTGGATCCAGGATGGGGGCAGCAAGTGCAGAAGGATATCAAGCAGGAGGAAGACGAGAGCAGCCAGGCAGATCTTTTGGTCGATTTCCTGCGGCAGTTCTCTAACACTGCAAGAGCAGTGTCACTGAGGGAAGAATCCCTGCATGCTCAGCAACGAAAGATTGCAGGCGGGTTCAATGGCCGCCCGAAGCAGTTTGCAAGGCAGGCTGCAGAGGCTGTTATTGGAACAGCTGCAAACAACTATGTTGCACGCGGAGGACGTTCCAACTTGCAAGCTGCGGTTCCCAGACTTGTGCAAGGGCTGGCAAAGGTGCGGAAGCAGGAGGTCAAGCACAGACGGCCGAATGCGGTAGGGAACCCCATGCTGACTTATGTTCGCCAGGAGATGCGAGCACACCCACAGAAAACGAAAGCGGAGCTGATCCAAGAATGGAACAGATTGGGACCTGGTGCCAAGAGCACCTGGAAGCTCAGGCATGCAGTACATGTGCGTCAGAGAAGGGCTGCAGATGAGGCCCGTGCGCGAGCAAAGGAAGAAGAGGCGAAAGAACTGACGACCCCATGGAATCTGGGAGACAAGAATTTTCCTTTGCGCACAGGTTTTGTCAAAGACTTCTTGGAGACATTTAAGAACAAGGACAGCGGCTTGGAAGCACTTTCTGGATTGGAGACTTCTCAGTCCGCGCAGTATCTTGAATCCGTCCGGGAGAAGAAGTACCACAGTCGAAACATCGCAGACTTTTATTGTGCTCAACGACTGGGCAAGTCGATTGATGACTGTGCGCAGGGCCAGAGCACATGGGCAAAGGTGCAGGAAGCACCTGAGTGCGATGTCTCATGCATGGAGATACATCCAGGTCTGTGCCGGACTCAGGATGCCGACATCCTCACACAGCTACCGGCCTTCATGAAAATGATTCCGAAAGAAGATTGCGTACTCCGATTTGAAAGGTCAGGTCCAGATTGTCTTCCTGGCCAAAGGTTTGCAATCTTTGTGCGAGCTGTTTTAGGACCCGGGCTTGTGAAAAAACGTTGATGTTGATAACCTGTTGATGTCATGATCTCGTGATGTCGTCAGTCTGGGTTTGGATTTGCTTATGAGTATGGTTTGTTGATACATTGTGGGATGCAATGTGTTTGTGGCCCAAAGGGGGCTTACACCATACCTGCCATAGTTTATACAAGTAGGATCGCTTTAGTTTATACAAGTAGGATCGCTTTAGTGCTCCGAGTCCAGGGTGCTTATCCCCTAAACTTTTAGGATGGCCATGGCTTTGCAATCTGGAATGTCTATGCTATGCTGCACTGCATTCTATGCACTGAATGCCATGAAATGGTCAATGATTCTTGTATTGTATGCTGAAACCCTCCGCCCTAGACCCTTCCCTGAACCCTAAACCTTGAACCATGAATCCCAGAACCCGTAATCCCAAGTCTTGAGCCCAAAGCCCCTAAACCGTAAACTTCCTGAAGCCCAAACCTCTTAATGCTTAACCGACACAGCCCTCAACCCAACCCTAAAATCCCTAAAAACAAACCTTAGACTCTAGCTTGGACCCTAAACCCTGAACCGAACCCTAAAAACCCAACGGCCCCAACTGGCCCCAACCCTTAAAAACCTGAGAGACCCTAACAAACCTTGAACCAGAACCCTAAACACTAAGGCACAAAAGGCCTAAACCCGTATGGTGTCAGCGCTTTTAAGCCCTACAGCACATCCTGTGTTTTTTGCTGTGCATGTTGCATGCTCGCCAGGAACAAAAACTCCCCTGCGCATGTTCTTCGCTCAGCTGGAGTTGGTGGGCCGAGATCCGAACCCGGAGTTCTACAAGGTGCAGTATGGCCCCCATGCATACCGGCTGTCGCGCGTGCCAAAGTTTCCCTTTGAGCTTCAACTTTCGCCAGCTCATGGAAGCTTGGAGAAGGAAGGTGGCTTGTGGAACCACTTTGAGTTTGCAAAAAAAATGCTGAAAACATCGAAAGATTGGATTGTCACTCAATTAGTGTTTCAGCAAGGCAGCCTCAAACGTCATGTGGCAACGGGTGTTGTCAAGACCAGCTCCATCCAGGTCCCGGCAACAGCGTCAAGTTCCACTGAGGCAGCTGTCGAGGCAAGCAGCAGCTCCAGGCCACAGCCAAGCCCAGAAGATTGGAGTATTTTCAGTGATCCAAGCTTGGATGTTACATTTAAGAAGTCGGCAATGCAGGCTGAGATCAATCAGGCCAAAAAGGTTAGCAAACCCAAGGCACCCATGCAGGAGTCAGATTCCGAGATGTCAGTTTACGAAGACGGCGTCTCGGATTGTGAGTTGGCAGCTGGCTTGGCACCATCTTTCGCAAAGCAGGGTGAAAGCGACGGCTGCGATGCCCATGACCGGCCGGCCGAAGATCATGAAAACACAGGTCAACATGCCTCCACAAGTGGTGCAACAAGTGCCCGTGCACCAAAGACGACATCCACCGACTTTACCTTGGTTCAGCATTCTTTGAAACCGAGGAGTGCCAGGGCGGGAGACACATGTTTAGCTAGACAGCTAGGAAAGACATGTACACATGTACTGTTGTACAAGTTGTACAACATGTTTCCTACTTGTGGCTTTCTTCCTGTATATTTCATGTTGCCCAGCTAAGCGTACATGATGTAAAAGATGTTGGTTTGATCTCTCATGACTCTCATGAGTCTCGTTGTATCGTCTGCAGGACACTACCGGCGGGTTTCAAGATTTATTTCCAGAAGGCAGCGCACACCTACGCTCTTTTCGAAAAAAACAAGCAGATCCCAGGGACTGTTAGGCACGTCAGCAGTGAGGGCGGCCACACAGGCCGGGCCATCATTCGGCTTGATAGCTTGTGTGTTGCCAGTGTTGCCAGTCTCTCGTCTTGTTGTCCAATGAACAGCAGCGCCAGTTATTGCATACGCTGCAAGCAGCACATGATCTCGGACATGTGTGTAATTCATGGTAGAGCACCTTTCTACTTCGACATTGTGGGTCACACCCTGTCAGGTGCCATCCGGGCTACCTACTGTGCACATTTCGGCGCTACGGACTTCGACTGACGTCGAAACTTCAGAAAGTACCTGACTGCATCATACGGTGTGTGTGTATGTGTCTGTGTGTTTGTGTTTCTGTTTGTATTTGTTTTTTGTGTGTGCTGACTTGTGCAGGGTTTACATGGCTCTGTTACTTTTATTGCACTCTGCCTGAGACTGTAAGCAGCCCTGAGCACTACACTGATTGCTCCAAACCCTGAAGCCTTAGCCTTAGCCTTAGCCATAAACGGTAAAGTAGATTGGCATCTAGATCCTAAATCTGGCACCCGCAACCCGGGTGTAGGATTGCTGCCTTTTCTGCCATTGCGTAGTAAGCCATCGTACACCCCCCACTGTACCTCGACAGTGTGGGTCTACACCGTCTCAGGTGCCATCCCTTCCACCTGAGCTTTGCCTGACATCAAAGCCTGAGAGAGAACCTCGACTGCATCGTAGCATGTGGGTGCACATGCATCTGCATGTGCATGTGTGGGCACACTGCACTGCAGGGTTTACATGGCTCTGTTGGTTCTGTGGCGCTTAAACAACTGATAAAGTAGATTGGCAACTAGATGCTATATCTGGCACTCGCAACCAGGGTGTAGCATTGCTGCCTATTCCTGCCAGTGCGTAGGAAGCCATCATACACCCCCATCCCATTGTACTTTGACAGTGTGGGTCTACACCCTCTCAGGTGCCATCCAGGCCACCTGAGCTTTGCCTGACATCAAAGCCTGAGAGAGAACCTCGACTGCATCGTACCATGTTGGTGCACATGCATGCGCATGTGTGCGCAGTGCAAGGTTTACGTGGCTCTGTTGGTACTGTTGCGCTCTAGACTCAAAGCTGAAACCCTAAGCAGCCTTCGCCACGGCACTGCCCCACACCCTGATGCCTCAGCCCTAAACTTGGGACTAGATTACAAGACTAGATCTTTTCTCACTCAAAACCCAGACACCACCTATGATCAATCAGCCCCATTCAGGTTCAAGAGAGTTTTCGATGGCAGCGGCAGCCAGTGGATGTCTGACACGGCAGCAGACCGGCATGGCACATGCAGCTCGCACGAACATAACTTGTAACATTATACCGTATTATACCGAATTAAGCTTTTTCTAAACCTGTAACCGAGTGCTTCAAACCGAAGTGACCCCCAAAGCTACAGATGTCCATTATTGGGTTTTAGCACAGGAATCGAATATTATCTAACCTTCAGTACTTCAATCCCCACAAAGTTGGGACATGGGCCTGGGTGAAGATGGTTATATTCTTGCTAAGATTTCCCGTAGCTCACCGGAAGGACCGGAAGGGTTCAGTCCAGATCTAAAACATACAAAGGTTATGCTATACGGCTATACCTATACAGTATATACACATGAATGGTTTTGGTTTGTCCATAAATACTTGTCACCAGTTGGTTGTCAGGTATCCAGGATACCATATCCTCATACTGTATTGCGTTGGACATGGTAGCACACGTGTGACTCGGAGTTGCATAAGCAAGGCCTTCCTTTGCAAAGCTACATGGCTAAGACCTCGACACTCTTCAGATCTTAGTCATTTTGATATCAATACCTTGGCCTAAACTTTCCCCGGTTCCTTGCTTACATGTTTCATGTTTCGAGGCATTTAGAAGCCATTGTAGCAGCAGAGTTTTCCATGCTTGCAGCTGCCAGCTTTTGTGGAAAGCCCTGAAAAGTTTAGTCCATCTGAGAACGCTTTGCTGGGGCCTAATTCTCTTCAGTTCTCCTCGGAGCATCTATCATTTATAAGCCATTGTACCACTGCAAGTTTCTATGCTGGCAGCAGCAGTCAACCTTTTGCAGAAAGGCTTGGTCTGCAAGTACCAGGCAGCTGGAGGCAGCATTTCCGTTTGAAACCATGCAGCTGTGCCATCCCATAAGACCACTATAAGTCTATAAGCTTGTAACTCTCAGCATCCCCATGGCTTCAAAGCGTGTTGCAATGATTTCTTATGGCCTGCTCATGTGGGTTTTGCTGCTTTGCGCGATGGTCTGCAGATGCCATTTTAAGGTGCTAGTATGCTAGTGTTAGTGTTAGAGGTTGCATTCCATGCTAACTAGGTGGGTTCTGCTAGGAGGGCGGGTCAGTGATAAGGGGAGTTAGAACTGCAACAAGCGGTATCAGCGGTTTGAGGTTTTAGGTTCCAGGCAGGTGTGAAATTACATATTCACAACCCGACTTTCAGTGCATCGGCTTCTGAAGGCCACTGCGATATCCAGGATACCGTATCCTCACGCGTTGGACATGGTAGCACATGTGTGACTCGGAGTTGCATAAGCAAGGCCTTTGCAAAGCTACATGGCTAAGACCTCGCACTCTTCAGATCTTAGTCATTTTGATATCAACACCTTGGCCTAAACTTTCCCCGGTTCCTTGCTTACATGTTTCGTGTTTCGAGGTATTTAGAAGCCATTGTAGCAGCAGAGTTTTCCATGCTTGCAGCTGCCAGCTTTTGTGGAAAGCCCTGAAGAGTTTAGTCCGTGTGAAAGCGCTTTTGCTGGGGCTAATTCCTTTCAGTTCTCCTCGGAGCATCTATCATTTATAAGCCATTGTACCACTGCAAGTTTCTATGCTGGCAGCAGCAGTCAACCTTTTGCAGAAAGCCTTGGTCTGCAAGTACCAGGCAGCTGGAGGCAGCATTTCCGTTTGAAACCATGCGGCCGTGCCATCCCATAAGACCACTATAAGTCTATAAGCTTGTAACTCTCAGCATCCCCATGGCTTCAAAGCGTGTTGCAATGATTTCTTATGGCCTGCTCATGTGGGTTTTGCTGCTTTGCGCGATGGTCTGCAGATGCCATTTTAAGGTGCTAGTATGCTAGTGTTAGTGTTAGAGGTTGCATTCCATGCTAACTAGGTGGGTTCTGCTAGGAGGGCGGGTCAGTGATAAGCGAGTTAGAACTGCAACAAGCGGTATCAGCAGTTTGACGTTTTAGGTTCCAGGCAGGTGTGAAATTACAAATTCAGAACCCGACTTTCAGTGCATCGGCTTCTGAAAGCCATTGCAGTCCGTGTCACACTGGTGAAAAAGTGATGCATCAGAAGGGTTGATGGCACAGCCAACATAGACATAAGCTCTTGTATCTTGAAGAGCTATATAAACCAGGTTACATGATCAAATGTGGTGCACATATCCCATACCTGTCAGTATGCTGTCGTCAGCGAAAACATTTCCTGACATTTGTTTTCCTGGGCCCAAAACACAACATTTCCTGACATTTGTCTTCCTTGGCCCCCAAAGAAAATTCCTGACATTTCTTTTCCTGGGCCCAAAACAAAATATTTCCTGACATTTGTTTTCTTGGGCCCAAAACACAACACTTCCTGGCATACCTTTTCCTGGGCCCAAAACAAACATTTCCTGACATTTGTTTTCCCGGGCCCAAAACAAAACATCTCATCACTCCCTGCATGTTTTGAGTCAATAACATGGAAAATGACATAGTTGAGGTACAGTTCCGTCACCCATTACATGCCTTGAAGCGCAAACAATTTGAAACAAGTTTCGCTTAGGGACATAGCTAGCCCAGCCCAGCCCTTAGCCAATAAAAGTTGCACTGGGTGAATCAACCCATCCCAGCCTAGCCGAGGCCAGCTTGCCCAGCCCTCAGCCTATAGCTTGCATTGAAGTGCAAAGTTTGCAAAAGTCTCACTTAAGGGCCTAGCACAGCTGAGTCCTCAGCCCAAAAAAATGTCACTAAGGGTCTCAGCCCAGGCCAGCCAAGGCGAGCCCTGCCCAGCCCTCAGCCTACAGCCTGGCTTGAAGTGCAAAGTTTGCAAAAGTCTCACTTTGGGGCCTAGCGCAGCTCAGTCTTCAGGCCAAAAAATGCTTCACTAAGGGTCTCAGCCCAGGCCAGCTAAGGCCAGTTCTGCCCGGCCCTCAGCCTCCACTTTGCGCGCCCAGCACGCGCAGGCCACAACCAGGCCGCCAAAAAGCACAATCATGAGCACAAAATGGAGCACCAGAAAAAGCACAATCATGAGCACAAAATGGAGCACCAGAAAAAGCACAATCATGAGCACAAAATGGAGCACCAGAAAAAGCACAATCATGAGCACAAAATGGAGCACCAGAAAAAGCACAATCATGAGCACAAAATGGAGCACCAGAAAAAGCACAATCATGAGCACAAAATGGAGCACCAGAAAAAGCACAATCATGAGCACAAAATGGAGCACCAGAAAAAGCACAAGCATGAGCATAAAATTGGCCAGACTAAAAGACTGCAAGCATGAGCTCATCAGGCAAATTCAGAGGCTTTGTTTTGTAGCTACTTTAAAAAAGCACAATCATGAGCACAAAATGGAGCACCAGAAAGCACAATCATGAGCACAAAATGGAGCACCAGAAAAAGCACAATCATGAGCACAAAATGGAGCACCAGAAAGAGCACAATCATGAGCACAAAATGGAGCACCAGAAAAAGCACAATCATGAGCACAAAATGGAGCACCAGAAAAAGCACAATCATGAGCACAAAATGGAGCACCAGAAAAAGCACAATCATGAGCACAAAATGGAGCACCAGAAAAAGCACAATCATGAGCACAAAATGGAGCACCAGAAAAAGCACAAGGTTTCATATAAAACTGTAAACAAAAGCACAAGAAAGAGCACCAGCGAAAATGCCACCAAATTTGGCTGAGGCAGCGTAAGCAATTGAAACTAGACTAAACTGGCCAGGGTCCTGGCCGGGGAGCTCCGGCAGCCAGGCAGCTTCAACAAAGCCCTGCAGCAACGACCCCAACAAAGAGCTGCAGTAACGGAAAAGCTCCTGGAACCTAACTGAAGCCACCCAGGAGCGATGCATTCTGTGCCATATCCAGTCCAATGCCAACAACACTAGGAAATGACGAGTCCCTGGAGCAGGAAGCCCGATTGACAGAACGCTGTGTCTTGGCCAGGCCACACATTAGGCAACCCTATTACTAATAATACTCTTGCTGCTGCTACTACTACGGTGACGACGATGACCTTGTACAGGATCTGCTTGCTATGGATCGGCCCTTAATTCAAATCACATGAGTTTAGGGCCTGTGGTCGGCCCATCCATAGATCATCGAGCTGCTCTTATTTGAAAACGTCCAAACTCTGAGGCCTCTGGCTGCATGATTTTGGGGAATATGGACTGTGGCCGCTCATACCGCCATGATCACGGCTGGCCTCAGACTGACTGGCATAGTCTGGAGCCTGTGGACCTATTGTGACTGAAACCTCAAAACTTTGTGGCCAGAACTGACACCGCCGTGATCTGCTTGTCATGGATCTGTCCTTATGCAGCCATGAGGCCGGCATGATCTCAGGCACATGGATCTTTTCTGATGTGAAACCCAGAGCTTGAAGACCCATGGCCGGTCTTGACATCACCATAATGCAGAATGTCAGGACATGTTTTGTGTGACACTGTGAAGCAATAAAACATGGAGGCCTGTGGCCTGTGGCCGGCCCTGAAACCGCCGTGGTCTGGTTGCTTTGGGTCTGATCTATGCTTATGTGAAATCAAGAATTTGCAGGGCCTGTGGCCGGCCATGAGATTGTCATGATCTGGGGTACATGGAACGTATAGATCTGGTTTTATTTGGAACCTCCGAAACTTTAACACCTGTGGCCGGTCCTGAGACCGCCACAATTTCTGGGATGTCTGACATGTAGCTGCAATACAACAAAACCTGGAGCCCGGTGGCTGGCCCCTGCCGTAATCTGGGGAGTATGGACCGGACCTATTCATGTAACCCCAACAAAGCCTGCGGCTCTGACCTGGCTGCATGGATCTATGATCTATCCGAATCTACCCTTATGTGATACCGTGATACCCCTTACCCACAACTTTCCGGCCAGTGGCCGGCCGTGGGACCGATGATCTTGGGCATATGGCAACCTCAAGGCTTTAAGATGACTGCATGACGTGGTGGTGGGGGGGGGCAAAGATCTGTTTTGATTTAAAATGTCAGAAGTATCAAGACTGCAAACTGCAGGACATGGATCTGTTACAGTCTTCTTTGACGCACCCCGCAACTTCAAGGCATGTGGCAGGCCCTGATACCGCCATGATCTGGGGGATATGGCTCTGTTCTTCTTATGAATGGATCATAATGGATCTGTTCTTTTGTGGAACTTCACAGGAGCAGCCTGTGGCCGGCCCTGAGACCACCATGATCTGGCGGGGTATGGATCCTTCTATGGGGGGAAATATGGATCTGCTCTTCTGTGGAGTCCCAAAAATTGCGGCCTATGACCTCCCATGAGGTCGGATCTGCTCTGATGTGAAACAACAAAAAAACTCAAGGCCGTCCTGAAGCCGCCATGATCTGCTGGGGGGCTATGAATTGGTTGTGACACAGCCTTAAGGCTTGTGGCCGGATCGTCGTCATTTTCGGGGTTGGCCAAAGCTCTAAGACCCCTGGCCGTTCCTGAGATTGCCATGGCCGGGAAGAGTGGATCTATTCCTATTATTTGGCAGCCCAAAATATAGTATAGGGCAGGCCCTGAGACCGTCATGATCTGGCTGGTAATGTGAAGTGCCCCACAACTTGAAGGCCTGTGGCCAGGCCAGAGACCACTATGATCTCGGATGGATGGACCTTGCTTATGCAACACCCTCAAAAACGTTGCAAATTCAACTTGAACACCTGTGGCCGGTGCTGAGACTGCTGTGAGCTGGGGTGTATAGATCTGATCTTATTGGGCAGCCCTAAACTGTAAGGCCTGTGGCAGGCCCTGAGGCTGTCGTGATCTGGTTGGTTTGGATTTGCCCTGATGTGAAGTGCCCCAAATCTTGGAGGTCTGCGGCCAGCCCTGAGACCGCCATGATCTCAGATGAACGTCAAGGTTTGTGGCCGGCCCTGACACCACCATGGTCTGGTCGCTATGGATCTGATCTGTCCTTATTGGAAGCCAAGAATTTGTTCGGCCTGTGGCCGACTATGAGATAGCCATGATCTGGGATGTGGGGACCGTTTGGGTCTGCCTTTGTTTGAGCCGCCAAAACTTTGGCACTTGTGGCAGGCCTTGAGACCACCATGATCCGGTTGGTTTGGATCTGCTCTTATGTGAAGAGCTCCATAACTTGAAGAAATGCGGCCAGCCCTGGGACCGCCATGATCCTGGATGAATGCAAAACGTTAAGGTCTGTGGTCTGTGTCTGGCCTTGACACCGCCATGGCCTGGTTGGTATGGCTCTGATCTGTCCTTATGTGACACCAAGAATTTTGAGAGGCCTGTGGCCAGCCATGAGATTGTCATAATCTGGGGTGCATGGACCGTATGGATCTGGTTCTACTTGGAACCTCCGAAGCTTTAACGCCACCTGCTATGACCTGGGGAGTATGGACCGGACCTATTCATGTGACCCAAACAAAGCTTGTGGCTCTGACACCAGCATGATCTGGCTGGCATGGATCTATCCTTCTGTGATGCCCAACAACTTTACGGCCTGTGGCCGGCCAGGGAGCTGACGATCTCGGGCATATGGCTCTGCTGTGATGACAACCTCAAGGCTTTAAGATGGCTGCGTGACGTGGTGGTGGAGGGGCAAAGATCTGTTTTGATTTAAAATGTCAGAAATATCAAGACTGCAAACTGCAGGACATGGATCTGTTACAGTCTTCTGTGACACACCCCACAAGTTCAAGGCACATGGCAGGCCCTGACACCGCCATGATCTGGGGGATATGGCTCTGTTCTTCTTATGAATGGATCATAATGGATCTGTTCTTTTGTGAAACTTCACAGGAGCAGCCTGTGGCCGGCCCTGAGACCACCATGATCTGGCGGGGTATGGATCCCTTCTATAGGGGTATAATATGGATCTGCTCTTATGTGTTGTCCCAAAAGTTGCGACCTACGACCTCCCATGAGGTCGGATCTGCTCTGACGTGAAACAACAAGAAACACAAGGCCGTCCTGAAGCCGTCATGATCTGGTTGGGGGGTTATGAATTGGTGTTGTCATCATTTTCGGGGTTGGGTCTATTGTAGTCTTACGCAACCAAAAGCTCTAACACCCCTGGCCGTTCCTGAGATTGCCATGGTCGTGAGGAATGGATATTTGGCAGCCCAAAATATAGTATAGGGCAGGCCCTGAGACCGTCATGATCTGGCTGGTAATGTGAAGTGCCCCACAACTTGAAGGCCTGTGGCCAGGCCAGAGACCACTATGATCTCGGATGGATGGACCTTGCTTATGCAACACCCTCAAAAACGTTGCAGATTCAATTTGAACACCTGTGGCCGGTGCTGAGACTGCTGTGAGCTGGGGTGTATAGATCTGATCTTATTGGGCAGCCCTAAACTGTAAGGCCTGTGGCAGGCCTTGAGACTGTCGTGATCTGGTTGGTTTGGATCTGCTCTTACGTGAAGTTCCCCACAACTGGAAGTTCTGCGGCCAGCCGTGAGAACACCTTGATCTCGGATGGACACAAAACGTTAAGGTCTGTGGCCGGCCCTGACACTGCCGTGATCGGGTTGCTATGGCCCATATGGCTATGGATCTGATCTGTCCTTATGTGCAACCAAGAATTATGTGAGGCCTGTGGCCGGCCATGAGATTGTCATAGTCTGGGGTGTATGGGCCATATGGATCTGGTTCTATTTGGAACCTCCAGAGCTTTGACGCCGGTGGCCGGTCCTCCTGCCCGCAAAAATCTGGGGAGTATGGACCAGACCTATTCATGAAACCCCAATAAAGCTTGTGGCTCTGACACCAGCGTGATCTGGCTGGCGTTGATCTATCCTTCTGTGATGCCCAACAACTTTACGGCCTGTGGCCGGCCAGGGGACTGATGATCTCAGGCATATGGCTCTGTTTTGACGACAACCTCAAGTCTTCAAGATGCCTGCGTGACATGGTGGTGGAGGGGCAAAGATCTGCTTTGATTGAAATGTCAGAAATATCAAGACTGCAAACTGCAGGACATGGATCTGTTACAATCTTCCGTGACACACCCCACAAGTTCAAGGCACATGGCAGGCCCTGACATCTGGGGGATGTGGCTCTGTTCTTCTTATGAATGGATCATAGTGGGTCTATTCTTTTGTGAAACTTCACAGGAGCAGCCTGTGGCCGGCCCTGAGACCACCATGATCTGGCGGGGTATGGATCCCTTCTATAGGGGTATAATATGGATCTGCTCTTATGTGGAGTCCCAAAAGTTGCGACCTACGACCTCCCATGAGGTCGGAGCTGCTCTGATGTGAAACAACAAGAAACACAAGGCGTCCTGAAGCCGTCATGATCTGGTGGGGGGTTATGAATTGGTGCTGTCATCATTGTCGGGGTTGGGCCTATTGTAGTCTTACGCAACCAAAAGTTCTAAGACTCCTGGCCGTTCCTGAGATTGCCATGGTCGAGAGGTATGGATCTATTCCTATTTGGCAGCCCAAAACATAGTGTAAGGCCTGTGGCAGGCTGAGACCGTCTTGCTGTTAATGTGAAGTGCACCAGAACTCGAAGGGCTGTGGCCTGAGACCACTAAGATTTCACATGGATGGACTTTGCTTATGCAACAACACTCTCAAAAACTTTACAGCTGAATCCTGAACACTT